AACAAAATTGTTTAACTAGTCCCACCAGTAAATACATCAACTCATCAGGCGTCAGGAAACCACAGCTAACTTGTTTCTGTGTGGTTGGCTAGTGAAAAATGACTTTTACATTTTTAAATGGTTGAAAAAAAAAACTTTTGTGATATGAAAAGGACAGAAAATTCAAATTTTATTGAATGCATTTATTTTACTTATAAAGTTTTATTGGAACACAGCCGTGCTCACTCATTTCTGTAACATCTACAGCAGCTTTTGGGCTACAGTGACAAGGCTGGCTCGTGCGGGAGACCGTGTGGCCCTTTGCACAGTTTAATGACCCCTGCAGTACATGGTTCGTGAAACTAAACACTAGTTCATTAAACACCTCGTGGTACTGAAAAGCTGCCCATTTGTGGTCTGACGGTACCACAGAAATAAGATCAGCCTGAAAAGCCACTGTTATATGATACAGAATCCCTCAATACAAAGAGTAGATGAGAGACAGAAAAACTGGCTCCACAACCATATTCACATCCAAACACGAAGGCACGGGGCCTGACAGCGGCACCTTGTACCACCAAGGCGCGGCTGCCGGGACATTCACATGCGGCCTGACCTCCAGTGGCTCTAACCTCTGTGAAGTCACAATTATCTATAAAACGAAGAAAATGTAAACAAGGAACACAGCAGACTACTGGTATTCGTAGTCACCAACTCACAGGGCTCCTGGAAATGTGAAGTCTGTGGAGGCTGCTCGAATCGATGAGACACAGCTGTCAATGTTCCTCTGACTCCTAACGGAAGTTCTGTTCCAGCCCTATCCAAAAGTGGTGTGCCAAGACGCAGCAGACGGGTGGAAGAGCAGTATGAAAAAAGACTTGTGAGAGTAAGACGGAACGTGGGAAAAGAAGGAAAATTAGGCTTTGCTGGTTTCCCCTGGGCTGTCTCCTTCAAGCTCAGCTCTCCAAGGGAGCAGGCATGAGACAGCTGATGGAAATCTGCTCAAAGAGAATGAACCAGCAGGACCAACAAAATTCTAACAATGCAATGTGCTTCACCATAATGAGACGCGATTTTGAGAAAGGATCACCCTCCAGAATACATGGAATTTGTCTCTACAGGTTGGGCATGGGGCTCATGCCTGTCATCACACTTTGGGAGGCCAAGACAGGACAATCTGAGATCAGAAATTGGAGACCAGCCCGACCAACATGGTGACACCCCTGCCTCTACAAAGAATATAAAAACGAGCTGGGTGTGGTGGTGCATGTCTGTGGTCCCAGCTACCCAGCAGGCTGAGAAAGAACAAACTTGGGCCCAGGAGTTCCAGGCTGTGTGAGCCACGACTGCACCACTGCACTCCAGCCTGGATGACAGGGTGAGACCCTGTCTTGAAAAAAAAAATGTCACTCTACAGGACTGATGAAGGAAGACGTAAGAAACAGTAAGCTGAAACAAACTCAAAACACAAAACCTCCGTGAAGATTCACTATTTATCAAATGAGATTTTTATGGTATAGACATACTGAATTTTGTACTATATGATCGCATTACCTATTTAAAGTCTCAAGTAGACAGAAATACATGCAGCAGCTATCAAAGAGCCTAAACCCTTTAAAGATGCACTTATAGACACACAGAAATCACAAACACAAACATATGCATATATTCAAACAGGATGCCCTATATCATTACCTACTAAACTTTTCTGATAAATTTATTTTTAGTCATAAATAAATTCTTTATTGTCTTTGTCCTCAAAGAGGAAGATGAATGAGAAAAGGTAAAAAGTAAACATTGATTAGGTAAAATCAGTAGATCAGTGAAATGGAGAGTGAAAGGTACATGGATATGCACATACGTTCCTATAATCGGGTGGCAAATTCATTGGTAACCATAAAAAGGTGATTTTTTGTTTTTTTTTTGCGACGGAGTCTCGTTCTTGTTCTAGGCTGGAGTGCAGTGCAGCAATCTTGGCTCACTGCAACCTCCGCCTCCTGGGTTCAAGTGATTCTCATGCTTCAGCCTCCCGATTAGCTAGGACTACACATGCACCACCACACCTGGCTAATTTTTGTTTCTTAGTAGAGAAGTGGTTTCGCCATGTTGGCCAGGCTGCTCTCAAACTCCTGACCTCAAGTGGTCTACCAGCCTCAGCCTCCCAAAGTGCTGGGATTACAGGCGTGAACCACCACGCCCGGCCAAGGTGATCTTAAAAGCATCTACAGCTGTTACGGAAAAACCCAAGATGCATATCCACGTGCACGGTATGCAATCTGTGTAAAAAAGATGAGAAAAAAGCCAACATAGTCTTTCTTGCTTGTATATAAGTGAAAGAAAACGCAAACATTAGTTGCCCCTAAGTAGTAGATTTTACTATTCACATATGGTGAGGCAACAGATGCGGAATGATGGTGAAAAGACAGTTTGTCACTTCCCGAGAGGAGGCCATGCCTCCCCCAGTGGACGTGGACAAGGACGAGCCGGACCACACAGCGTGGTTCTGCAGGTGGGAGGAACCAGGACAGCCTGACTGAGGGTCTCACAGAAAGGCTAGGGTAAGGCGGGGCACACACGCAGAGGACTCAAAGGCTCTGGGGCACAGCTGTCCCCAGTTGTCCGGCACTGGCTCTGAGATGACTTGGGCATGACACGGGCAGTGCTGCGGAGTTAGACTCTGGACTGGTCGGCTTACGAATGAAAGGCACAGTCCGGCACCAGCCATCTGCCAACCCGAGTCCTGGAAGGGGCAGTCCTTCCCCAGTCCGTGAGGGCCGAGATACCACGAGAGAAAACAATTAACATACCAAGGAGGGAGCTGAGAGTCCAGAGAGCTGGGTGAAAGTAAAACTTCAGTGGGTGTCTTTTTGTGCCTTTTGAATGTTGTGCCATGTGACCGCGTGGCCTATTTAAAACAAGTGATCGAGCTTATGAGGTGTGCTACCCACACGTGAGTACGCATCACAAACACACATCTGCCTTCCGGCCCTGCTGAGCAGAGTGGACTGACGATGAACGGCTCCCTGCGCAAGGAGGACTGAGGGGTGCCATTCGGCTACTGGTACAATACAACAGCACGATTTGGGAGGGACAGAAAGTGCCTCTGTCCCTGTATTTCCACAAACTCCAGAAACACATGCGGGATATTGCTAAGTTTCCACTTAAACCTAGGCATTCAGTTTCTACTCCTTAAAGACACAAAAATGCTGGTTAAGAAGATTCACTGCTTATTAAAGATGTTTACAGTACATACATATTGATGGCACTTCTAAACTTAAAAAAACATCTTTTTTCTGATTTAAAACCAATAGCTGGCCTTCCACTTCTAATAAGGGGATCAGATTTATGCTTCAACATAAAACCACGTAGAGGAGACAAAATAAATGCACTGACAGTTTACAGGACGCTGCACGTCAGGCAAAGAAAGGCCGTGTCCCCGGGAGACAGAAAGAGACGAGGGGAAGCTTCTAATCGCACCAGCTTACTGCCTTAAGACAGTTTCCAGGCAGTGAGGCGCTCCTATGTGAAGTCCAACAGACGTGGTGTATCTATGCACATAAGGACTTGCCCTCAATGCTCACAGCAGCTTTATTTACAAACAGCCAAAAACTGGCAACAATGCAAATGCCTATCAACAGGTGAGTGGATAAACAAATTATAATATATTTACACAAAGGACATACAGCAGTGAAAAGAAATATAGTACTGATACACACTAAAACACGCATGAATCTCAAAATAAGCATGCCAAGTGTAAGAAGCCTTATCAAAAAGAGTATGTGCCGTGTGAGTTCGTTAATATAAAATTCTAGGAAATGCAAACTATTATTTAGTAATGGACAGCAGCCGGCAGTTATCTGGAGACGGAGGTGGGAGGGGTGGGAGGCGTGTGGAGACCTTTGGGAATAATGGGTGCATTCATTGCCTGATAGTGGTGATGCTTTCTCAGGTGTAAAAGCCATGTCAAAGCTTATCAAATTGCAGGCTTTAAATATGTAGTTTGCTCTAAGTCAATTACACCTCAAGAAAGCTTTTTAAAAATAAAGAGCAATACTTGGTTTGTAGCAAAAACTTGAAAAATACCAAACACACAGATAAGACGGTAAGACTGTGGTCTCTTCTAAAGCATGCCCGCGTCTAAAAGTAACACTTCAAAATTATTAACAAATGCGGACTGTAAGTTGTGTATCAACTCCTCCAAGTTCAAAGCAATAGCTTTAAGAAAACTCTAGACAAGAGTGGCGTCGATTTCCTGAGGCTGTCTGTGGATAATGAGACTTAGAAGCTCACGCTGGCCCCCTTTGTTCAGGACCCCATTTCTTCTCTGTCCCTGGCATATCACAAAGCTTGATGCTTTTGTTTGCAGGCGCTGGGGCTGCCAAGGCTCCAACAATCTGAATTCTATGCTCTTGCCTCTCTTCCACCTTGATCAAGCACGCAACTTACAAGCAGCAAATTTACCCTAACTGATCATGGACACAGTCAAACATAAAATGTTATAAAAATGAGCGATGTCAACAGAAGTGTATCTATCACAAAAGGAAAATGGATATGGTCTTCCACTTGCATGTTCTGAAAATGAAAACCCGCCGCCACACGACTTATAAACAATACAGTAAGAGCGGTCTGAAATGCAGAAAGACAGTGCTTGGCACCATCATCAAGCACAAAAACCTTGAAGAGAAAAAGCATTCAAAAAAGTTCACTCAGACTTGTCATTTAGAGCACAGAATTCGTAAGAGCACTCACTAAACCCACTCCAGGGAAGGATTTTGGTTGTGGCTTTTAAAATACTGCGTTATACTAGGACAAAAGGAGAAGCAGAAAAAGGTCATAAAGAGGTGTCTTCCTATTTTCCAAAAAGACTTTTAGGGAGGTCACTTTGAGGGAAGGTGGTTCTCTTTCTGGGTCCACAAGGAAGTGTAGTTCTAAGGGCAAGAACTTCCCAGTGCCAGGCCCCTTCCCGTGCGCCTCCATCCAGGAGACTTAATTATTTCTGTTTTAATTTTAGAGGGTGTGAGGGAAAAAAATCAAAGGTCAATCACTCCAGTAGAAGTTTAAAGGAACTCTTCTCACTGGCCCGGGGGCTTGGAGAAGGTGGAAATTCCTCCCAGATTACAAGTCCCCGCCTCCCTCGTCTGGGCGGATTTCCCCCGTGGGGTCCCCTCCCACTCTCGCGGAAGCTGCTTTTCCCCTCCTGGATTCCATACTTGGGTCCCCATCCACACTTTTCGGGGAAGACTTTCTCATTCTTTTCTATCTCCTTTTTCTCTTTCTCTGCCTAAATAAATCACTTTCTGCAAAAACTTTTTGGGGTCTGGTATTTACTTTACGAGCGTCCCGGGCCCGGTGTGGTCCCCTCTCCCATTCTTGGGTGAGTGAGAGACCAAGAGCCTGGAAAGACGTCCTCTCAGGGGAGCTAAGCGCTCCCCTGCACCCCAAAACCCAGCAACAATTTAAGTTTACCCAACATGTTGCAAGGCACTGATACTGGCTCTCAAAAAGAGGTCACTTTTATTCATAAAAATAACGAATATTCTCTTTAGCCCTTATTCTAGTGCTCAGGCTTCCCATCAAGTGTAGCTGTCTCCCATACATTCATTTCCTGGTCTCGAACTCACCACTCCTTCAAACTGTCCCCAACGTGAAAACATCTCCCACCTCCTCTCCATCAGTCTACTGCTGCCACCTTCGATCTGCCCCGTCCCTGTTCCAAGGCCCTCATCTTCCCAGTCACACCCCACCGTCTGTTTCCTTCCTCCACCACACCTGTGACAGCCTGTGCCACACGGCTGCACACACCCATTCCTCTTTCTTATGTCCCTTTTGTAGACTACAAACTTGCAAAGAATAGAGTCCGGTGAATAAATACAGCCATGCACTGCGTGACAACATTTCAGTTAACCGCAGACCGCACAGACAATCAAACCGCATATACAACCGTGGTTGCGGAAGATTAATACCATATTTGTACTGCACCTTTTCTACATTTAGATATGTTAAGACACACAAATGTGTCACAAGTGCCTGCAGTGTTCAGGCTATCCCACACAGCCTGGGTGTGCAGCAGGCTAGACCATCTAGGTTTGGGTAAGTACACTGCATGCTGCCCACACAATGACAAAATCGCCTGATAACACATTTCTCAAAATGCATCCCTGGCATGCAACAACGCATGACTGCACTTGATGCATAAACAAATGCTTTACACAATGTCTCTGCAGCCCGATGAACATGGAGGATAATCACCAGGGTCCCAGATGGATGTTTCCCACTAAGAAACAAGCAGGCCCGCTTTATTCTATCAAATTTGTTTATCCAAAGGCACAAATTTATCAATCTGCTAGAATCTTGATTGTCCTACATAAGCAGAGCAGCTGTAACACCTGCAGGTGGAGCGGCCGTGGCACCTGTCCCGGGAGCGACTCCGGGTGCTCCTGCACGCTACACACGGAAGCCTTACCAGAAATCACAAAATCTAAGCACCTGGGAGTCTGCTCTCCCCAAGACCCCAGAGGGAAAGCCTCACTCTGGCCCAGATCTCTTGATTTCCAGCCCAGTGATTTTCTTGCCCAGCCATTAATCATTAAGTGACATGATTTAGCGTCTCCAGGTGGAGAGGTGGGTCAGTAAGTCACAAGCACTTTTTCCCATCAGACAGACTTTCGTCAGCTTTCACAATCAAGGGCCACCATGACGCTGACCTACCTGTGAAAACTCAGTCTGCTCTAAAGGTTGTGAGAAGATAAGGCACGTGCGCTTTGGGCGCGGAGGGTCACACCCCAGTTTTCTGCTGAGTTGCAGAAAGAGAATCATCTAGAAACAGATCTTATGAAGCTATATTTACCGTATTATTTAGTAGTGCCCATGCTAAAACATGGCCGTTTCTTCATCTTCCACAACTTTAGGCGGTCTATGGAATGCTGAGACGTCCCTGCTAACCATATAGTTCTTAACACGCTTCACAATAAATACTGCTGTATGCCAACGACAGTATCCTCCCCTATGACCGGACTTCCACTCATAAAAACAGAAAGCCTCTGTGTACACGCGAATGACTGTCCTGCTGCCCTGCCAGCGGAATGCGTGTGCCCCCATCGGGGCTGAGCGCTGGCTGCGGACACCTGGAGAGGGTTTATTCCTGCTGACGGTAACAGCACAGAGCTCTGTGCAAACATCTTTTCTTAAGTGCTGTCAGAATAGAGAGATTTAAAAGGGAGAGGCAATGTCATATGAATCATGACATCGCAGCAGCAGCATCATTTCTGAGCCCCAGGAAGAACCAAGGGCTTTCACGGCTCCCACAGCAACGCCAGGCTACCTAAGCTCCTTAGTTCCTCTCTCCTCCTACCCTCACTGATGTTATGCCCAGGCCCATGCCACGTGCTCAGGTACCCAAAAGGACATTTGTTGCCTGCTCATCTATCTCTTCGCAGAGGACTTAATCTAATCTAAAAGAGAGACAGAAGACAGAATAATGAAAATACTGCTTAGTCAAATTCATCAAACAAATGAACACAGGGGTAGTTTCTGATCTTGAATTACCACCTGTGATCCGACACATACGTGCGTTTGGGGGAGGGGTGCACATTTGATTCGGTCCATGGTTCCTGGCTCCTAAGTCCCACAACCCTTGTTAGTCTTTTGTTATGAAGTCGCAGCACTGTTTGCCTCCAGAAACAACACCTCTCTCTGGACCATGTGCCCCTCTCCTTTCACCTGCCAAGGCAGCACGCCAATCTGACTGTGGGTCATAAGCCCCTCATTCCAGACAGGGACCCGCTCCCTACCCCGGAGGCGGAAACACTGCAGAGAGAAGCCAAGAGGACTCTCAAGAGACGGGCCTTTGTCAGCCACGTGTTGACATGGCTGCCCATGCGGCAATCATGCCTAGGCAGCGAAGTCTCCATAAAAGGCTCAAGAAAGCAGGGTTCAGAGCTTCTGGACGCTGAACGCGGGGAGGCTGACGGGAAGGTGAACAAGAACTCACCCAGGTGCTGGGAGGGTGGCAGCCCCTCCCCCAGCTCCACTGGAACAGAAGTGCCCGTGCGTGGGACCCTGGCAGACCCTGCCCAGTGTATCTCTTCGTCTGGCTGTTCACTTGTTCACTTACAGCCTTTTAAATCTCCTTTGTAATAAACAGGTAAATGGAAGTGTTTCCCTCAGTTCTGTGACCAGCTCTAATAAATTAATAGAACCCAAATAGAGGTCACGGGACTCCTAACCTGGAGCTGGTGGGAAGTTTCGGAGGCCTGGGCTTGTAACTGATGGAAGAAGGGAACAATCTTGGGAAGTGAGCCCTTCACCTGCAGACTCTGCGACTGTCTCCAGGTAAAAAGGTCAGAACTGAATTACAGGACACCCCAGGTGTCCACTGCTTGGTGTGCAGGGATCTTCCCCCAGCCCTCCAAAACACACTTGTCCCCAGAAGTCTTCTGTGGTGAAGACTGCTGCAGTTTGGGAAGGGGATAGGAAAAAATCTCTTTGAGTGTTTGTTTTTGTTCACACATTATCTCCATCAAGGCTTTTACTTCTAGATTTCTCTCTCTCAAGGTCTGGGACCGCCACTGGAGAGGCAAACTTTCTAGGGTTCTAATTCATCTTCACAGTTCTTATAGAGTTCTGACTTTCTTCTCTTATGTTTGACAATGCCTTCTAATTTTTCAGCACTTAGTTCTTAGATCTTTTGCTTTATTTCACAAGAAAAGGAGGGTGAATGTAGTTATCACTTGTGCAGTAAAGGAGCACAGATTAGAAGTTTATAAAAATTTTGGAGGAGGATGTTGAGGTCAAAGAGCTATCTTCTTAGAAGCAGGGGAGTCAGTCACAGGCATCAATGGAAAAAAAAGTTAGAAGCAAAAGGCCGGCCGGGCGCAGCGGCTCATGTCTGTAACCTCAGCACTTTGGGAGGCCAAGGCGGGTGGCTCTCGAGGTCAGGAGTTCAAGACCAGCCTGGCCAAGATGGTGAAACTGTCTCTACTAAAAATACAAAAATTAGCCAGGCATGGTGGCACATGCCTGTAATCTCAGCTACTCAGGAGGCTGAGGCAGGGAACTGCTTGAATCTGGGGGCGGAGGTTGCAGCGAGCCAAGATCACGCCATTGCACTCCAGCCTGGGCAACAGAGCAAGACTCTGTCTCAAAAAAAAGCAAAAGGCCTGGGGTGTCACTTCCAATCAGAAAACCATCTAATTCCAATCCCTTACCACTCGCAGATAGAGCACTGCTCTTTGGGAAAAACTCAAAACATTAAAAAACTAGTGAACTGTGAAATAAACTTTCAATAGTCTTCACAAAAAGCCAGCTCAGGACAATTCAAAATCTTAGCAGCAGTAGAATTTTCTGTAAGTTTAAGATATATCACTAATTCAGGAGCTCTTATTGAAATAACAATGTGTGCTTTGTAACCTGAAAGTGAAACCCTACTAATGAGCAAAACTGTAAAACAGCTTTATAAAAGCAAACTCAAAGTTAAAAAAGGACATTTAGGCTACATTCTCATCCAAAATAAAGGCTTATTTTGAATAATTCAAAAGGTAAACAATTTATCAAAAAACAAAAGTATGTAACAGACAAAAATGCTAATTCTTAGTTTTTCCCCTATCAGAAGAGCGGAAGATGAACGCTTCATACAATGGTATTCACACATACCTGTTTTAGGATGTATTGAAAAGAAGCCTTGTGGATTTCCACTTGTAATCCTGTACGTGAGCTTGTCATTAGAGCTTGAATCTGGATCAAATGCCTCGATCTGGACCACAGACACATCTTTAGGAGAGTTTTCCATGATTTCCGGGTAATAAACCGGCTCTGATGTCTGTGGGGAATTGTCATTGACATCCTCCACCTCTATGTAGATCTCTATAAACGATGAAAGAGGAACAACGCCCTGATCGGTTGCGAAGACCGTCAGCCAATAATGGGAGGTGGATTCACGGTCCAGTCGATCTGAAGTCTCTATGACACCTAGAGAGAAAGAAGAAAAACGTAAAGTAGCACGTCGACAATCAAAACTGCCATTGGGAGAAAGTGTCAACAAGTCCGGCTCACTGAGGGCTTCACCTGCCTCTTACCAGTTGTGTAACTTTGAGCAAGTTAACTAGCCT